TCCTTCCTCATCCGTTAAACCTTCCTCTGCTTTCTTACTAGTCCGCTTGGTGTGTGTCACTTTGTCATTCGAATCCTCATCGGTACGAGGAACATGAGCTGGGTTCTGCGGAACTGCAGCAAGGTCCGGGATTTTAATTCCCTGGAGAACACAAGGATGAGAAACGGGCGTAGATGAGTTATTCGACATCGAAACATAGGCAAAACAAACAAACCTCAGGTAATCCGCCACAATTTTCTTCGAGATTCATCAAGTTCTGACGATGCTTTTCGATCACCCTACGATTAAGACGCTTGGCAGCATCGTGATTGAAAGTACCATCGGGGTTGGTCGGCGCGACGCGCGGAGGTAAAGAAATCGCTCCTCCAGTAGGTTGTTCCCGTGCCAACGGAACAGCAGAAACACAAGATAGCACGAGAAGGACGAGCGAGAACGATGCGGCGAAGGAATGAGTAGTTTTTGAGGCCATTTACAACGGAGAGAACGAGGAATAAAGGGAGTAGAATATCTGCGCTTTCGAGCGTCGTGAATCGATATATATTGAGTCGTGAAAGTCGTAGAATGCCTTCAACGTTACCAGCACGTTGTTAGAACAAAATTGGGGCTTTGCTGAAGTGTTCCATGAAATGATGCCTTTATAAGTATACCTGAGGTTAGCCGACCCTGAATGATGGAAATGGAACGGAGTATCAAAGATTATCAATCTCTACTCTATATCAAGATTCAAGACGCAGCTTTGTGCGCTTTTTACTGGGCCTGTTGAGGCCTGTTGTCTCCTGTTGTGCAGAGCAAAAAAACTCATGAGTCATGATAACGAGTTTATCAAATAACAACGGTCCAGGATATGCACATGAACGATTTGGAATTGCGAGACGAATGCAGGAAACACCATGTCCTGGTACACCGACGGTGGGTTGGTGATCAGAATTCAATGAGCTTTCCCCGGAATTACGGAATATCTGGCGTTAACGTTCAGTGCAGCTTCTGGCAGGCTTCTGAGAGAGGAAGTCTGGCGACAGGTATCCAAAGTCGGAATGTATCCACGTTTGTAGTACTCCAACCCTTTTGACGCCACCAAACACATGTATTGCAGACGCTCGCCTTCAAGAGAGCTGAGGAATTCTAGCCTACGATACATGTGCGCATGATCAACTTCTCCCCGTCCCTTCGAAATTCTATGCCCCACCGCCACGCCAATGAAACACAATCTATGCGATTTCAACACATCACTACGATTTGTGAATCAACAGACGAGAATTTTGCTTACTGTTTAGTGATTCGGAGGTGTGACCTTTATAGTAGGATAGAACGGAGTCAACAACACCTCGACTTCCGAATCAGTAGACAGCTCATTGTCGGAGAATGTAACATGCCCTTCTGAATGAGATACATCTTTAGATTTCTTGAACTTGAATCTGATCACTTTTTCACCGGGGATCAGGGATGGATCGGGATATACAACGAAAGACGGTTTCTGGTTTGTTGATTCCTGTATCTTATCCCCTATCGCAGCTTTCACAAAGCCCACCATGTTTGACAACGGTTTGCCGTTTTCTTCGTGTATGAACACCACTTGAATTTTATTGACATCTAATGCCGATGGTCCTTGCTAAAAGTTTGGCAAAAAAAACTTCGGTGAGTATGATGGTCGTGATGACGATGATTTTACTTGCCATTGCGAACTTCAACTTTTTTGAAAGCGGTGGCTCCTTTGGTTCATCACCCTTTGAGTTATCAATAGGTGTAGCAGCAGCATTATGAACAAGAACAAGTCCAAGAATCAATATGAGGTAGATTCTGAAGAACATATCGGAAGAATCAAGACGAGTTCGAAAGTTCGAAAGAGTCAAGATAAACGTGGGGTGGATATCTTTGGAGAAATGAGATGTCAGGAAGAGGCCAGCTTGAGAGGAAGAGAGTAGACACTTTTTTTTGATCAACAAAGCTCGAGTTCAACTGGCCGGCAGTGAAGTGAAAAAAGGGATGAAGCTAAGACTTGGGGGTGTTTCAGGCGCTGGTACTAGTAGAAGAGGGCTTATATATCATCATGCCATCAGATGCATGATCTTACACACCCGACGCTCTTCTACCAATTGGCAATGTTGGATGTCAATCCTAGTACTACTAGATCGGACGAGCTTGAACCTTCTAAGCTGGTTCGGCTGCACGATCATGGTCAAACGCCACACATAGAAACGCCATCAAATTTCTTGTCTGCGTGTCCGTTGGATGTTCGTTCTCGAATGTTACATCGAATAAGATGGTCTTCCATAGTCAAGATTGGCTGTTGGCTGTTTTGTTCGAGAAGGAAGTTTGGAGTCGTAGCTGGCCAGGCCTGTCAGGCATCAATGCGCAGAGGCAGTAGTACGATACGGAGCATCTGCTAATCATCAAGGTCGAGCCAATCTCGTATGTCGCATGATTTTTTTTGGAGAACATGCAATTTGGCAAAGGGCGCAATTCCCACGAAAATGCAACCTCCTGTCTGGCTCTAAGTACCTCTCATCATGGGGCTCCCACAGGTTTGCATGATGGGCAGTGTGACAATGGTATCAGCGCAAGTTTAGATTGCATCTTGACCCTACCCCGACGATAAACCCGACGGAGTATCTCTAGGCCTGGCAGCTTCTCATTGGATGTCGTGGTTAGTGAAGACCCTTTGTGATAGGAATAGGTTTTTACGCAACGATTCCGAGTGATGTTTGTATAATTGTACAAGATAGTATTTTCTGAACTCTTTGTGGGATCTAATTTTCGAGTGCTCGCCGAAAACTATGCCGTAAGTATTGATCGTTGATCTCCTACTATCTCAACGCCCTAGAGATTGTCCTATCGAAAGTTACACATCATTTTTGTATGTAGTAGCAGAAATTCGAGTAGATCGAACAAGCTAAAGTCACGTCCTTTGAAGTTCGTCGATTGAAACATGCAGCCTCTATCCTCAGAGCCGCAAAGGCCATTGACGAAGTTCTACTTATATCTACGCACAACAGCGCACAACTGAGAAGATCATGGCGTTGACAGTCTGGACGGCTCCTCAGAGAATTCATTACTTGGTTTCTCGTTTTCTGAGACTTGAGCGACTCGTGCAGGTGGCATCTCACGTGTCTGGCTGCCAGCATTCATCTCGCGTCTTACACCGATGATCAGAAGGATAGTACTATTAATATTCCATGAGAGAAGGTAAATCATCTCAAGCATTTGATTGAGGATGAAAAGGACTCACGTTATGACTGCACAAACCCAGGCTATCCAGAGAAAGCAAACAGAGGCAAAGTTTGCGGGATATGACATGTATTCTGAGCAAATCCACAATCAGCCCTTCTTGAATTTGTGAACTGCAAAGGTTTTACACACTGAGCGGTGGGCGAAAGAAAAAAGTGGTCAATTGCTCTTGCACTTCAGCTGACGCACCCGTGATAAAGCCAGAGTGCCTGAATACCATGATCTGTCCATGATGGAATACTAAGGGAAGGCAAAGGGATCATATACAGAGACGCACAGTATTGACGATAGCAGCCAAAAGGAGACCCGTGGTCATGATGGCGGGCAAAATCATCCGTGTACGGTTGTACCACTTTGGGTATGATGTTCGACGAGGCCATAACACGAGTATGATGAATTCAAGAGCAAACAGGGAGGAGACGAATGCACAGAAGGTGAGAGTGAGAATGTTTGCGGTAATAATGTCGTTAACGTGAAGCTCGACCTATATGAAGCAATCGAACTCGAAGTTGATGATTCGTTCAAGTTTGGCATATAAAATCTGCAAGTACCTCCAAACCGAACTTAGTCAAGGCATATTGCTGAACATTAGTTCTTAGATCCCTATATTTTGACAGAGAGAGAGTTGCAGGGATAGTTGCTCCAATGCTAATGTTTTGGGTTAACTGATAAGCAACTGGGAAACAGGAACCGTTCAGTCATGATTGGGATCGAGGTAAAGGCAAGATACATACTCAAGCGTTCACGACGAAGGTGCGGCCAACGTTTGTCGAACATGTTCTTCCCTTTGAAAGCACTCCAGCGTGGCTCTGATAAGTCAAAACCCCATACTGTTCTCGAAGAAGACATATTCTGAGGAGTTACGGATATGCAGGAACTTGAAGGGCGGAATGGTGGTTGTGGAACTTTTTCAGTCGACTGTTATAAGTCGCCGGAAGCAGTGTCGATCTCACAGTGAGAGTTCCATAGACATGAAATGATTGACGTGGGGAGCAGAGACCGAAAGAGAAACTATAATCGTTCCGCAGCTTCGATTCTAAATACGCACATAAAATATCCACGCTACTCGAGTCCAAGAAGCACATAATATGGCATTGAATATTCATATCTCGAGTCTCGAGGGAGATCTTATTATGTTCGATACGGCTGTAGGTGTCATATACATATATGGCAGTACAGTCATCTGACTAACAGGTTATTGAGTACCCCGTCTATATATATTTTCTGAAGAGTGTTGAATGGCGCAGTTCACATCGTCAAGTAGCGAGCTGGCGTTTTTAGCAAAAGACCGTGCTTCTTCATGAAGCTTGAATCTCGTCATATGTGGTCCGAATACAATTCGGTAGTAGCCAAATTCTTTAGTAGTAGGACGTAGGTAGATACTAGATAGCATGTTGTAAAATTGAAGACCCGTCAAAATCATAGCGATGGCTCGTTCCGCAAAGGCTCGCAATACAGTTGCGAACCCAGATGGTGACTAACATCTTAAAGTTGAATTCGAAAGGATCGATAGTGGGTCTACTAGTCACGCTAGTGACCGTCGTGTGGTACTTTGTCAATGTTTGATATCAGTTCTATCACCTCAGATTATGAATCTTGCAAGTTGCTCATATCCGAGGATCTGGGGATTAAGGCACTTCAGTATCCCCTCGAGTCGGGGGGTAAGGCAGAGACGACCTTCAACATTCAAAGCCTCAAACTATGTAGGAAGTACAAAATTAAGATTCCTTGATATGCGAACCAGAGCTATCGAAAAATAAATGTTGAAAAATATACTCCCTGGCTGGGAGTCGAACCCAGCTTTCGCGCGTTTGCAAATGCGATGACAGGCGCGTGTACTAACCGATATACTACCAGGGATATGGACAACATCTGTCATATCTAAATTATAATATGTCTTTTTACTTGCGACTCCATCGTAAGAGTCTTAAAGTCGTATTTGCAACCAGTTCCAGGCCATTCCCAATGCTCAACCTAACATCTCGTACGAGCACTTTCAACGATTCGGTCACGCTGTTTGAGCTCAAAAGAGAGCTTGATGAGCCGAATGGACGCGAACCTGAACCAAACGAAACGAACAGGATGTGTGGTTCGACCCCCTTGAGGAGAAAGCTCGTCAGAAATCTAGCAGAAAGTGAATCAGAGGAAGAAGAGGCTCGTCCATTGAAACGAACTAAACTTGTTGATGAACCGTATTTTCCTTCAAGACTATCTTCTAAACCTCGTTCTGGGACAAAGTCACCCTCTAGAAATGGTTCATCTTCAAGAACAAAAACCAAACCCTCTGAACCGAAATCTCCTCGCAAACTAAAGCGAACCAGCTCTGACTCCGCCTCTAGTGCTGCTCATCCCGCACCTTCAAATTGGCGCCAGGTATACGACCTCATTCATGAGATGCGGTATACGCCTTCTGGTTGTGCTTGGGACGCTGCGGTTGACACGATGGGCTGTAGTATCGCTGGCGAAGGTGAAGGTGAAGACGGTGAAGACAAGGTGCATCAATCCTGTCGTTCATTTCTTCCCTCTGACTTACAGGTGGTATTTACTCAGAACAAACGATTCTCTATCCTGATTTCCCTAATGCTTTCATCTCAAACCAAAGACGTTGTCACGCACGCAGCCATTTCTAATCTGCGTTCCGCCCTCCGTGCCCTCGGTTCTTCCGGTCTTTCTGCTATTGCATTAGCTTCTGCTCCTCCGTCCCTTGTCCAAGATTCCATAAACAAAGTCGGATTCTGGCGTCGAAAGACTGAGTATATCCAGAAAGCTGCCGTGATTTGTCGAGACAAGTATGATGGAGATATACCAAAGACACTTGAAGAACTGTTGGACCTGCCCGGTGTAGGGAAGAAGATGGCGTACTTGACGTTGGGGAGTGCATGGGGATTGTAAGTTATCTCGCTTTGTCTCTTGGTAATTTTCCAAACCTGGACTTTTCGGTCCTCGAATCTTCCTTCGTAGCGCGAGAAATCTTGATTAATCGAAAACATTTTTTAGAAACATGGGGATCGGCGTCGATGTTCACGTTCATCGTATCACAAACCGCCTGGGGTGGCACAATCCACCGACCAAAACTCCAGAAGAAACGAGGTGAATTCTAATCCTGACTCTTCTAGTTCTATAAATTTGCATGTCCGAGCTTTCCACCAATTCCTTGTCCACCCGTATCAATCAATCCCTCGGGTTTTCACATTATCCCACTGTTATCTTACTTTCATCTGACATTATTCAAAGAATCAACTTGGAATCATGGTTGCCTCGTGAGCTTCACCAGACGATAAACCACCTTCTCGTTGGCTTCGGGCAGGTACGTTACTGTCGCATTCTAACCATCGCTCATGTCATCGTGATCTTACTATTTTCAAACCACTAGACGATCTGCAGCCCTGTCAAACCTAAATGTTCAGAATGCTCGTTGAGTAGTATTGAAGGACTATGTCCGAGCAGGCAACTACCCAGTCAAACCACCAAGGCTGCGGTGAAAGCCATGAAGAAAACCACAACCTCCAAGTCCAAAGCAACTACATCGAGATCAGTCACCGTGGAAAGCAAGGACGAGAACCTTGACTCCGCTACGACCACGAATTCTACTCTTACCTTGGCTGCGGCAAAAATTGACTGGGCGGAGGGTGTAGCTGGAACGTCTGAAGAGCATGCAAATAAGGTTGGGGACGGGGACAAGAAATCTGGAAAAACGGAACCCGACAGATATGGAGCAGCGGAGCAAGGGGCTACAGTGAATGGGAAGTTGCAGGAAGAGACGGTGGTGATCGAACGTAATGGGGGTCCACAAGTCAAGATTGAGATCGAACAGTCGTAGTGGCTGGATGGTTTGGATTATACTGCGACTATGGCAAGATCCAGAGGCAAATACGGTTGACGAAATGGTCGCGGAAGATTAAGGAGGCACGGAAACTAACGTGGGGACGGTGGAGAAGGTTGAATTACGATTCAATCGCCTGTTCGAAAAAAAGATGTTGAAAACGGAAAACAGGAGGATTGATCGAGGGAGCGCATTTGTTGAAAGTGCGGCTACCAGGAGGCTCAGAAGATTTCAGAAGCCCGGATTATGATATGTTGAGGTGGTGCAATTGAGACCCGGAGGTTTGTCGGGTTTGTTCTTGAGTTCTGCTGCAAAGTCGTGTGCTTCGCGTGTACTCTTGCAAGTCGAATGTTTCTGAGAGGTCTCCTTATCCACAAATTCCGCGAAAGTTCTTAATCCATTCATTAATGCGAACTTGTGTATATTAAGATCAGTATGTAAATAAATGTCCAATCTGTGAATTAGAGATATTGCAGAAAAGCGAAAAATACCAGATCTTCTTACTTTCCACTAGAAATGAGGCCAATATCTAGAGAAGCTTGGGACTTGATATGCAGCGGGAGGCAGATAGTAAAGTTGCTTGAAGCTCTCGAAAACCAATATGATGCTCGACGGAATGAGCAGAACCATCAACAAAGTCACTGGAATCACCGCTGCCGCCTTCCTCACGAATCGATTTGGGGTACGCTTAGTAGCCCATAACCCAACTTTGCGGGCAGCCCAGTAGATGGTTCCTCTGAACACTGCCGCTATGGCCGCTCCTCGCCAAAGGAACTGGTCGAAGGGTGTAGGAAAAGTAAAATTCCAAGCAATCATACTAGGAAATCCAAATAAAATTGCCAGAACCGTGGCGGCGAATGGTCCTGGGTCTTCCTCGTTCAGTGTGAATTTGCGTGGATTCCCACCGCGATACTTTAAGCACGCGGATAAGCCGGCCGTGGGAGACACCAAGGCATCTGTATAGCGCAGTTCCTTTGTGCGAGGATCAAGCGGCTTTCGAAGGCGCTGAACTGCGCACATCAGTTTCTTCGCAGCGACTGAAGCAAGGATCCATCTTTCTTTGTCTTTGTCTAGAGGATCTGTAACACCATTTTGGGCGTATTCAACGTCACCAGAAACTCGCTGTTTTCTTCTATACCAAGGCTGGCGTCCTAGGGCCCAGGTTCCGACCGTCCTGTCTAGCCATGGCAACATGCCATCTTTTGTATAACTTGATGAAGAAGGTGAAAAATCAATGGTAGAGTTCTTTGGGATTTGGGAAAGAGATGGTTTTTCGAGATTAGGAGAGATACCATGATAGTACATACTATCAAGTTCGGCAGGACGCCAGACCATGAGATATCCTGCGAGGAAGTAATACCTTCCAGTACTAGCCATGCACATCAAAGCACATGTCTCCCTAGCCTCTTTTCCACGGATGAATGCAGGCTGATTGACGCTGAGTGGCTTGCTCCACCAGCAAACGTATGCCAGCAAAGAACATAACGCATGTGCCACGGTTGTAACCTCCAGTAGGGTGATGGGTAAGCCCTGCAGTTTACGAGCTATACAATCTATGACAAAAAAGGAAACTTGAACGACCAGAACGCTTTTCGAAAGGCTGTTTCGTTTGTTTCGATCCGAAATCTCTTCGACAGACAAATCTGGAAGTAGCTCTGGTTTGTGCTTCAAGAGGAACTGGATGCCCTCTGGTGTAATCACTGCACGACCTGACTCGCCGTATGAGTTTGGAAGAAATGGTTTGGCTGCATCACCCTCGTCCGTCTCTGTAGTATCAAACACAAATCCACCCATCGCAGCATAATAGCTGTGTATCATTGTCCAGCAATACTTTTTAGTACACTTGGGTCTCGGTCCCTGAACCTTTACGTGTTATCAATATAATATTTCACATCTGCCGTATAAACATACCTCCTCATATTCCTGTCGTATTCCAACGGCTTCCGTTGCCCAATAGTACCAAGGCTTGGGTGCATCGGGGAGAGGAAATGCTTCACACTTCTTTGCATCGCTGAGAAGGGCCCTGGCAATGGTCCGCTGTCGATAAGCAATGAAGAGCAATGTTTCCGGAGTAACCAATCCCACGAAAATCCAGCCCAGCCTCACCCAGAGTCCACGCAACATCCCTGAGTGAGCCGGAATCTCGACGTGGACAGCACTCCAGAGACAAAACAAGAGAGTCGTCAGACAGGTAGAAACAATGTTGAACGTGCCCCGAAAGTCAGGGCCTGGTTGCCACCCAGTAGGCGGGTTCGCGAAGGTGGACATTGTTCAACGCTGAAATCTGCTACCATTGAGAAAGTGAGCATGGTATACATATATATGAGGCTAACCTGATAGAGAGGGTATGATTTCAATCAATGGTCGGTGAAGATGAGGACGAGAATATGTGTCGGGGTATTATACCGCAAGCTATGCTGCAAAGACTCAACGATCAAATCTGAACCCGCAGTGAGACGAACCACCGTGAATTTTGTCAGTTCTGGAGAATGACTCTGTTCAGAGTACAGATCATTGAAAACACGTACATCAGGGGGAAGTTGTCGGCGCTAAAGGTAGGTCAAGGTGGGTAAACATTGAAAACACGTACATCAGGAGGAAGTTGTCGGCGCTAAAGGTAGGTCAAGGTGGGTAAACTAAACCGTTTGAGGTTTCCCTCACCTTGTGCGCATGGTACTACATTTATGTGATCATAGCTTGCTAAGATGGAACAATATTTGAACGAGGTGTAAGAAACAAAAAATATGGAATGACTGGAATTCCTCATTCCCGTTGTGTACACAGTAGCTCGCTGATCATCTTCAAATTAGTGAGCCCTTCTAGGCCTACATCGTCACTTTATGAGACCATTGGCAACGTTGACTCGTTGAGTGTGTCAAATCTGAATGAGCCCTCAGGCCGGGCACGACTGCGATTGCGGCAGGCGAACATGTTGTGATGAATTTATCTTGAACCAAGAGGTCGCCCTTGCTTCGCGATCTTCAAGGCGGTAATTGGCGCTAAAAACAGGCTGTATGAACCAGCACCTGCACTTTCA